TAAATGTATCCTTCATAGGTTAGTTAATAACCAAGCATTTGTTATATGCCAGTCTTTGTTTGATAATTATGGGATGAGTCAACTGTCTAAATGTATCCTTCATAGGTTAGTTAATAACCAAGCATTTGTTATATGTCAGTCTTTGTTTGATAATTATGGGATGAGTCAACTGTCTAAATGTATCCTTCATAGGTTAGTTAATCAAGTATTTGTTATATGTCAGTCTTTGTTTGATAATTATGGGATGAGTCAACTGTCTAAATGTATCCTTCATAGGTTAGTTAATAACCAAGCATTTGTTATATGTCAGTCTTTGTTTGATAATTATGGGATGAGTCAACTGTCTAAATGTATCTTTCATAGAATAGTTCATGGAATTCTTGTTAGGTGTCTGTTTTTAGGTATTAACCACAAGATTAGTCTGTTTTACAACCTAGGTGTATGTTTCACGGACGTACGTCCGAATTTTTGTTATGATCGTTACTAATATTTCCTACACTTTATCTGCCATTCAAAGAATGAAGCGGTGGACAGGACCGTGTATCTATGCATGTGTTGGGTACTTTTTTCTTGTCTAAAAGTTCCAAAGAGCCTCTTTTTTTTGTCACGAAAAGAACATCTCAGAATGTTAGCCGTACGGATTTCAGTTTTTATACACTAATTTATAACCATGAATAGTTTTTAAACCGAATAAAAATTAGCTAAGCCTAGGAATAAATAAATAAATTAAGTCTTTGCCACGAACAGGAACTAACAGAAAGTTTAGAATCTAGAATATGTTAATTGGAATTAAGATAATTCTGGTATAACGGTGAAGCTGTGTACTGTTTACTGAATTCCAGACAAACGTCTGAGGTCATGTCTGTATCTGCATAAACGTTTATGAAGTTTTTTGTGTTTTTTTTCCACCGTACAAATATACGCATGTCAAGCTAAGAGCTTAGAGTATTAAAGATTATATGTATGACTTTAATTACTTCTATTTCAGTGAAATAAATGCAGTGTACTGGAAGTTGAATTAAGAAGTTTCGCTCAAGCCTACACAAGGTTCATATGCGCATGTCCGTCCCTAATTTTGGACTGATACCAAGACTAGGAGAAATGCAGCTAGTCAACAGCACCTACAGTCAACTCTTGGACTACCTTTGTATGGTCAAATAGTGAGATTTGACAGTCACTCTTATAGCATACTCGGGGTCCAAAAAATTTGAAGCGCGAGTTTTTCGTGACAATGGGACGCGAACCATGAACCCTTGAATTAACAAACATGTCAATGTCTACATTTGTGCCATTTCGCATCTAGTTCGTTGTCTTCTATTACATTTGTTGATTTGATAACATTCAATAATCATTTAAATAATCGCCTTGGCTCGGACAAGATTAGCCTGTTTGAACTGTGACTCTGAAGATTCATGGTTCGCGCATAGCAGAATTATGAATATTTATTAGCACTAAATTTAAACCTTTCAAAAGAAATGCATTTTTGAAATTACCCCATTCACACCTTTCTTCTTCTTGTTATTATTATTATTATATATATATATATAAACCACCTCAAAGTTAGGGACGGCAGTTATTTCGAAAGTGCCATTTAATAAACTTAAAAGATTTACATCTTAATATTGAGTGAACGTTATGCCTCGTGTAACTTGTTTCATCAGTGAGTTTGGATTTAGAGTCTGCAGACGATTTAACCAAAAGCAGGAATTCGCGTACAAAAATACAACAACAAAGACTACAGTAATTTCGAATTCAATCTTGCTTAACTGTTTTTTTTTTTTTATTAGGTTTTACTTTGGTGGTTTTTCTTCTAGTTACGGTATAACTCTTTGTAAAACAACAAAACTTTGAAACATTATAGTCAGATATAAAAAGAAGCGCCTGTGACTGTTGGGCGCTCAGTAATTAGAATGAATAAAATAGTTATCAGGTAAACTTCGTGCAACACTTGGATCTTAATTACATTGTTTGTTATCTAACCTATATTAAATCCAGTGTGTGTCACGTCACGCGTGATTTCTCGAAATAGGAGGAGTCATAAAACCCCAAATGTATGTATTCAGATAGAATAGTTCGATTACTGCCTGCCCGTTACGATTTTAGTGACGAGAGTGCAAGAGGGCCGTGAGGGGATGGGGTTGCCGTGACACCTTATAAGTTTAGTGAGTGTTGGGATCATCTAACCTAGAGCCAAGTACATAAAAATTATAACGGTAGTAAAAATATCGATTCAATTTTAAACTTGTTTGTAATTAAGCACAAAGCTACACAATGGGCTATCTGTGCTCTGCCCACCACGGGTATCGAAACCCAGAGTCTAACGTTGTAAGTCCGCAGACATACCGCTGTGCCACCGGGAGGCAATTTTAAACTTAAATCGTTTCTTTATTAAGCTATTCTTTGTTATATTACCAACATTTCTAATTAAAAAAACAAACCTCTTTAATTAACGGATACTCAAAATTAAGAAATCAACAAATATTTTCCAGTTTGTTTGTCTATACATTTCATTTTATACTTTCAGTACATAGACAAATATCAATATTAGGTTACTAGCTGAAATACGGAACTTATGTAAATTCATGATTAATGAAAGGTTATCTTAGGACATGAAAAGTTGCTTCTCTCAGATGTAATTGTAAAAAAAGACCGTAAAAATGTCCATAAAAACTGTAAAACACAAAATGTGAAACCGCAAGTTTACATCTATCTCAGCATGAATCCAACAAACCTTCATACCAAATTTGGTAAAGATCCATCTACAGGAGGTGAGGTAGTGGTAAAAAACGCCAGTAAAAACCGTAAAACGTTGAAACGTAGTGTTACCAAAACGCACTGGCTTTTCTATATATTAGAAGTTGTGAATCTAACTGATTTTTACCAATAATTAGTCCATGGATCACAAAGAAAGTTATCAGGAAAGGAATTTAAAGATTGATTTCGCAAAATTTATTCATTTCAGTTAGCTATGAAATGTGAGGTTAGGGTATATTATGGGTTGAGGGTAGTAGTTCTTGCCCAGTCATTTTGGACGGGCTATACGCTAGTCAGAAAATATTAACTACTTACGATAAGGTTGAGGTGATCTGATAGCAATCTCTGTCGTGGTTAGTATCATATACGATCACTTAATTCGGTTTACTGATTAGTCACTATTTTTGTTTTAGAATAATTAGTTACTATTTTTTTGTTTTAGAATAATTAGTTACTATTTTTTGTTTTAGAATAATTAGTTACTATTTTTTGTTTTAGAATAATTAGTTACTATTTTTTGTTTTAGAATAATTAGTTACTAATTTTCTGCTTTGGGAATAATTAGTTACTATTTTTAGTTTTAGAATAATCAGTCACTATTTTTAGATTTAGCTACTAATCGCTGCCATGTTCAGGAAAGTCCTAAGAGGAACTGTTTGTGGTTACCGGAACTGGGTTTCAATCTAAGGTCTTTTTGTAACTAATTGGTAATTAGGCATAAGTGATCGTACAGAATAGTAACCAAAACAACGATTAGAAAGTGTTTTCTAAAAGGAAAAAGAAAAGATACGTCGATAGGAAAAAATAAATAAATTTCACCTAACTGGCTCACTCCGCAGTGGATTGAGTTTTGCTGGTAGCCAGCAAACAAACAATTTGATTCTGTCAAAGTGAAATGTCCTAGTGGGAGGAGGATGAATCTCATACAACTGTTTGGTTCTCGACTGAATGTTACTGGATAGTTACAATGAAAACTTAATTCCCCCAAAGGAAATGTTTCTTACACCAAAGAAAAAAAAGGACAATAAAGATTTCAGACTAAGCCTACCGTAAAGTTCCCAAGATGGACTCTTGCTTTGAAAGAGAAATTACTTAAGTAAATTGTTAAGAAACAGGAATAGTTAACAATTTGTTATTTCTTCATTATGATTTTAATGTACAGTAAAACGATGTGTTTCGTAATTTCATTAACTAATTAACTAATTAAATTCCCATTTAATAAATTGTAATGTAAATCATTTGAGTAATTTACCTACTGAACCAGAAGAGGTCGCTGTTGTTAATCATAGGTTCAAGTCAGAAACTCAAAAGTCGATCTTCGTGTAATACCTGAATGTAGTGACAGGAGCTATTTTGTTAGTCTCTCGTTGGATTCAACCCGTTGGAATTGGAATTTTCCCAACGATCCTAATGACTATAGTTTCAAATAATGAATTGTTTAACTATAAAGCTCCAGCTTCATTATTCTTAATTGTTCATTTAAAAACACTGCTAACCACTTAGAACGAGAAGTGGTCTTGTGGTTAGGGTGCCAGGACTCTAATACAAAGGTTCATGGTTCACGTTCCGCGGGTGCGTTATAAGAGTGACGGTCAACTCCAACTATTCAGTAAGATAAAAGTAGCCCAAGAGTTAGCGGTGGGTGCTTTTGACTGTCTGACTGCCCTCTAGCCTATCAGAGTCAATTATGCACAAATATCCATCCATTTGTGTGACTGTGCGAAATAAACAAAAACAGAACATCACTGCAGAAAAAAAAGTAGTTTGTTGTTTGTTTATTTGTTGTTAAGCGCAAAGCTACAAAATTAGCTTTTCTTGCTGTGTCCACTACGTGTATTGAAACTCGGTTTTTAGCGTTATAAGTCTTCACACTTATCGCTGAGTCTTGGCCTACTCTTTACTAACGAACAGTATGAGATTGACCGTCACATTGTAACGCCCCCACGGCTAAAAGGACTAGCTTATTCGGGGATGGTATTCGAACACGGAACCCGTAGATCGCGAATCAAGTGCTCTAACCACCAGGCATTCAACTGTATAACTACATCTTTATAGTTAACTACTTTCCAACTGCTTTAGTGTTTATTCTTCTATATGAGGAAAGTTACTGCTAATTTTTGTTTGAAGTCCAAACGCCATATTTTAAACATCTACATTAGTCCTAAAGTGAACATTCGACCAGAAAATGTTTATTTTAATCTCTGATTCATGATTAGACACGAAACGAATATTTAAACAAACAAGTTGATGTACTGAATCTCTAAAAGAAATAATGTTTGTGTTTCTGGTTGTGCGCAGAAAAACCTGACATCAGACGTTTTGACTAGCCGGTTTTTCTCTAACCTACCACTTCAAAATTAGTGACGGTTAGCGCAGATAACCCTCGAGTAGTTTTGCGCGAAATTCAACAAACAAACGCAGTAAAAACGACTTTTTAATAGTTCAGGTAAAATACTTTGAAAAAGTAAAAAATTAATTGCAACTACAGAAAGTAGCGTATTAGTAATTTAGTTTAACTGTAA